GGACTGCAGTGACACAGAGCAGCTTCTTGGGGAAAAACACCCCAGATGTGCAATGGACACAGCTGACCGACAGTCCTGTCAAATACAGGGCCAACAAGTGTACAAGTGCAGCTTTTAGCAGGTAGGTGTAATCCACATAAGTGCAATTTAGGATCACTTCTCCATTCGCTCCTGGCTTTCTTGGGACTGAGGTAATGCAAGTGCTGGGATGCTCATTTCCCACTCACCCCACTGTGTCCTCTGTGGCTGCAGAGACAGGAGGCTACAGAGAGACCCATCAATGCCATGGGAGTGATAGCTTCCACGGCCCTGGCATTTACACAATTTAGGCATGTTACATTTATTTAAGGGCTTTTCTTGTAAAGGGTTCAGGGTCCTGAGTGGCCAGATCTGCTAATGCCTTGTGCTTTTTGAGTTTAAATGTGCCACTTCCAATGACTGTCAATGTTGACCTAAGTGAGGAACCTTCAAACATGTTTATAGAGGAGACCCTGGGACCACATTCCATGCAATTTTCTGTTCTGCGGAGAACATGGGAGGAAGATAGCACTAGAGCTGGTGGTTTTTGTAAGCGGAGGCCTCTTTGACAAGCTCTGTGCTGTATGTGGCTGTGGCCTCTCTCAGTGCTCCTGAGCTTTCCCCCTTGGAAAACACTAATAGAAAGACCACGAGGCAGGTTATTAAGTGTGGTTCCTGGAATCATCACACTGAATTAGTGGCTTTCATTGCAACACCTATCCATTCTTCAGAGAAACGTTTACTAAATGCATTGTCTGTGGCAATGCCATGTGATGCCCTCGAAATGAAGCCATGGACCAGGTAGCTGAGATCCTGCCCTGACGCAGCGTATAGCCTCCTGGAGGAGACAATAAACAAGGGAGTCATCTAGCAGGCAGAGGGAAGTGTGCGGCTTGGGGGGCTGGGGTCGAGGAAGAGAAACTTTTCAGGGTATTCTTCCGGGAGGACAGGGGGCCCACTATGCAAACATGGGAGGCAAAGGAAATGGTAGATTGTTTGAGGGGAGAGACATGTGGCAACTTTAGAGACTTGAAAGAAAATCAGGCATGTGATCGATTATTCCTTGCCTTGAAGGCATCTTGATCTACACAATCCATGGATTGAACCCAAGGACAGGGAAAAACTGTGTCACAGAAGCAGACGCGTGCATGGTATAGACACTGCAAGCATTCAAATATGGAAAAAAGATATTAGGATGAAAAAAAGAAAACACCTACTTTCTAAAAAAATTTAATCTGTCCCAAAAGAGGGCATGTACACGAGATGCCAAGGGAAGTGACTTTGTTGTCACCTCTTTTGTATCCTTTATAAGTTTATCAGCAATATTCAGCCAGGTAGTAAGTCAGGGGATCTGAGACGTCCCTTCGGGAATCCGCACACCCATCTCTCTGATGTGAATTTCACTGGTCCTATGACACCAACAAGCACACAGCCATCAGAAGTTCTTATCTCCTGCCATTTTCCCCAAGAAAATGAAATGAAGTTATGGTGAAATGGATGGTGTTTGGTGTGTAATGAGCCTTTTGCAGTGGTCTGACTCAAGTGATAGATGAACAAATATGAAATGTCAGGCACTGGGGTGGAAACAGGAACTGACTCCATTTTGTACCTGATAATTTGATGAGGGGATAAATAGATCCATGGTCACCGGGCTCCACAGTGTCAAGCCCTGCCAGTTACCACAGGAGCATCGCAAAGATTTGCTGGCAGAACTGTAAATTTAAGTGATCACGATGGAGTTATCTGGGTAGCCAGGAAAGGCCCTTCTGGTGAGGACATGGCCATGAGCAGAGACCTTCAGTTGGGAGAAGGAGAAGTTTAAGAAAGCAGAGAAAGAGGCTAGAATGGAGGATGACAGAGGTTCAGAGGGAATGGAGGGCCATATTCCAGATGCTTGGAAAACAACCAGATCAAGTGCAGAGCTATGCGCAAGAGTCACTGGACTGGGAGCATGCTTCCAAAGGCTGGCTGTAGTCAGACGAACAGCAAGGAGGTGGAGGATGTCTCAGGTACTGGAGCTAATATTAAATGGGGTTGATTCTCTGCCCCTCACTTTGTAGCTGGGAGTTCTTAGATAAGCTGATTCACTTCTCCAAGCCTCCACTTTCCTGTCCTGTAAAATGGGTACATTTCTTTTGAAGCTTCTATGAGTTGATGTTGATGAAAAATATACATTTGCCTGGCAGGTCCCTTGGTGCAATTCACAAAAGCTCAGTGCTGTGTGAGTACTCCCAGGGTCCTCTCTGACAAGTCCTACAATGATCCCCTTGATCAAGGATCAGGGCTGCCAGATGTGCTTTGGGTGAACCAAATATCCTAGAACATCAGTGGCGGCGAGCCTGTGGCACACGTGCTATAGTGGGCTGTTTGTCGTCATGGAAAGCTCTAAAAGGTTTGCCACCACTGTCCTAGAACAACGCTTCTGCCTCTGGCCACCAGGGGCCTCCCAAAAAGGTATCTGAGGAGTGAGAGGGCTTTCAAATATTAGCAAAGTTTCTCCACCCCGGCATAAAATTAAAAATATAAGCACCATGAAGTTCAGACATGAAAATTACTGATGTGCTGGAATGAAAATGGTCCAGGGCTTTTAAAGAAATGATTGAAAACTTCTGGATCAGTTTGTTAAACCTAACCGAAATGGTTTTGTTGATGCTTTAACAAAAACAAAACAAAACAAAATACCAACAACAAGATGAAGCCTTGGTCTCTAGGGAGCAAGCAGCACTGGGGCACAACTCACTGTGTGGTTCATTTTTCTCTCCTTTGTCTAGACTTTGCTGCCTTCATCATTTGGCCTCTGATCTTCTGTGATTGCACATCTGCCCTGGGTACTTGGTGTGCTATTCCAAGACTCTTGGGTGTGGATCTTGTCTGGGCTGCCATTTTTTTTATCTGTTCATCTACGTATTACCTCCATGCTGGTGTGCTGAATTCTTCCCTCTAACAGTGCTGTAGACCCAGAGATAAATTGAACATGGTCTCAGCCCACCCTGAGTTGCAATCTTTGGGGGATGGATATGACAGTGACAGTATTCCCAGATCTTCTGGGGTTGGGAAAGGCACTGAGCAGGAGAAGGTGATGACTAACCCCTGTGAGGGTGGGAATGGCTTGACTTGTCTAGGAACGGATTTCACAAGATCCCACAGGCCAGTGTCAGTGTGGCCCATGCCCTCGGGACCCTGCACTACCTATTCGACAGTGGAGTCACCTGGCCAGGATCTGCCAGACTACAGACCTTGGTTCCCTTTTCCTCTACTGCATGGAGGGAAGCCATAACCTGAGCACCGAGGCCAGTTGAAAGCCAGCATGAGATGTGCACTGAATGAGATGCTCAGCCTGGCCTTGGACTGGAATAGGCATCAGGGTTTCCTGCCTGTAACAGGTCCTGGGGCTTGGGGTAGGAGGTATAGGTAAAATGGAAGCTTTTATCTAAATGTGAATTTGGGATTAATGACTCTTGGATTCTTTGCCTTCAACATTAGTGGAGGAAATTCTGACCTGTGGCTAGAAAGTGTGGAAGACTTTCTCTTGTGCTTTCATTGTCATTGTGATTGCCTCTTAGCCACAGTGGCTCCCTATCTGCCTCCTGTGTATTGAAGCTAAATGCTTCCTTCTGTATTGACAAACAGAACTCTTCCTACTTCCCTTACTTAATTAGGGCACTAAGAGACTGTGTGCACTAAATGTAATGACCAAGTAAGTAAATTTCCCCTGTTAATCTGCACATTTATCATCGTTGCCTTCGTAAATCGACAGTGACTGGCAAAGTCTAAAGTAACTCTCCAATTTATAACTGGAAGATAAAATTCAGATAAATGAACCATTAATGCCCAATAATGTGAAAGTATCATCATAGAATTTCAGTAGTAGGTAGAAGCAGTGCTTCAAAAGGTGGGGCCCGATATAACTCCATCTGGACCCCAATATGAGCTGCTTTTCAGAGCTACTATCTGATCCTGGTGTCCTTCTGGATGGAGCTGGGCCTCCTACCCCCTTAACAGTGACTTCATTTCTCCATAGTATCTACCTCACCTGACATCATACTGCCAGTCTGTGTGTGTGTGTGTGTGTGTGTGTGTGTGTATGTGTGTGTGTAGTTTATGTATTTACTATTCCTCCCCAGTGAAATACAGGCTTAGGGCAGGACTTCCCTTTTATCAGCTGTTAATAATCCCCTGAGTTCAGGCCATCCAATGTGTTGTATGCACCCCACTCATATATGCTAAGTGAAATAATGAATGAAAAGTAAATCTGAGCTGGGTGTGGCAGTACATGCCTATTATTCTAGCACTCTGGCAGGCTGAGACAGGAGTATTACAATTTCAACCCCAGCCTTGTTAGCTCAGGAACTTAGAATTCATGTTCAAAATAAAACAAAATAAAATAAAATGGACTGGGAAAGTAACTTAAGTAGCTCAGTGCTAATGTCTTGGATTCAGTATTCAGTACCAGAATAATAATAAGCTTGATATCTGTTATATACTGACCATATCCCCCAAAATTGACATATTGCAATCACAGACCCCAATACTCAGGATGTGACTGCATTCGGAGATGGGGCCTTTGAAGAGGTGATTAAGTTAAGATGGGGTCATTACTGTGTGCCCTAATCCAACATGTCATCAGGCAAACAGGAGATTAGGACACAGAGAAAGGGAGAGAGAAACAAGTCACACCATGCATGCCCAGATAGACAACCCTGGGGAGGCAGGAGAGAAGACAGCTGTCTGCAAACCAAGGGCACAGGCCTGAGAAGAAACCAAACTGCCATCTCTTGACCTAAGACTTCCAGTCTCCAGAACTGTGTGGAGATAAACTGGAGTTGTCTGAGCCCCTGCTTGTGGTATCTGCTGTGGCAGCCTGAGCTGACCAGCAAGAGCAATGCAAGGTAGTGATGCCTAAGGCCTGTTGGTATCTCAGCCAGGACCTGCAACCAGGGTTTGGGTGGACCTGGCCAAGACTGCAGTCCTGCCCACCTGCTAGCCAAGCACAAGCTTTCTGTTGTGCATAAGAAGAGGTGATGGCGGTGAGTTGAGACATTGGCCTGCTCTTCCCTCATTGTCTGTGGGCTGGACCCTCTACTTCCTCAGGCTCAGGGCTTTACTACTCATGTCTTGCTTTCATGTGCTTGATCCAGTTTAATCTTTACAACAGTCCTTAGGGTCAGCATCTTTATCGTCCCTGTGTTACAGATGGGAGAGAGATAGAGAGGTCAGAAGGGTGGGTGCCACGTTGCAGTGACCCTGGGGAAGGCTCAGAGCCAAGCTTTCATGTAATCTTTCAGGCGTGGTCTGAGGGATCACTGCCATAGAGGGTGCCCTGGGTTGGGATACCAGAATCAGGGTGGCTTGTGGATTTCTCCAACACAGGAGCTCCCCCCCTTTGTCTAAGGCCCTTTGTCTTGTCTCTCCAGGAGAGGGAAAAGTGAAGTATTTCCAAATGGAGGGCCAGCTCTGTCCTACCTGTACTGGGCTCCAGTTGGGGATGGGAGGGCTCTTTCCTTTTTTTAAGCAGTGTCCAAGTTCATGTGTTTCCCGGACAGGAATGAGTTCTTTGTACTTAGAGTCAGGACACCTAAGGTAAAATTAAGAATTGTACCAGGTATGTAGCTAAGTTGGGCAGGTACAGCAAGCTACAAAGGCAGGATACCTGAACTCACAGACCTCCCCATTCTCCTCCAATATACCAGAAAGGGATGTGCCAGTGGTCTCTCCAGAAAAGAGTCAGTAAAGGTAATGGAAGGGAGGGCCCAGTTATTTCCCCAGACCCCATCCCCTGCACCTTATGTGGCCCCCGGGCCACTACTGGGTATGGCTGCCAAGTGCTCAGCTCAGGGCTGTGTGCCTGTCTCATTCTGAGGCTGTTCAGAAGAGTTTCCACCTTTGTGCTTGTACCAGGAGTTCTTGCTTCATTATTCAGAGAGTCTTTAGACTGATGCTCAACCTAGTTAGCTTCATTAACATATTTAAATCACAATTAATTGGAAAATTACAGTAAGGTGTGAAGTGGGAATCATTCTTTCAAATGAGCATCCTTTGCTTGCTGATGAGACTCAGCCATTTGTTTCCTTCCAGGAAGTCTTCAAACCTCCAGCCTGCACGTGTGGCCTGGAAAATGGACCTGGCACGTGTGTGCCACAAGCTATACCCTGTGAAGTGCTAGTCTGCACTCCACATCCATGTGGCCTGGGGGTGCAGCCCAGCTCAGGCACAAGGTAGCTGACAGAGCCTGGGGAGAGAGGAACCTGATCTTTCTGCCCCAGCACAAATTTCCTGTAGGACTTCTTGGGGGCCAGTTTTAAGGCACTTGGGACCTTTGCTTTAGCCCTAAAGTGGCTGGGCACTGGGCAGCTGTGTCCTCCAGGGTCCTTCCCACTGTGATGTGGCTTCTCTGGTGCAGAACAATGAGCCCTGCAGTTCTAGGGCAGGGAGGCTCTTCTGTTTCCATGGCAGCCTGGGACAGAGCAGATAAAGGGACCAGCAAGAAAGGCGACAATGATCATGCTCACTGAAGGCTTCTGTCTATGTGCCTGGTGGTGATTCATGTGAAACTGAGGCCCAAAGGGGTGTCCCACTTGCTAATGCGAAGGCTGGGACTCCACCCCAGGCCCTGGAATTCAGGAAGTTTATCCTGTTGTTTTGCATCCTCACGTGTCCTGGTGAATGAGGGCCAGTGTGAGCAAGAGTGCACCCTGAGCCTCACTCCTCCTACAGTGAGCCATCAGGAGGGAGGCACACATACGCACTCACATGTGAGTCTCCTGCGGGTGCTGCCCTAGTGTCTGCCACCACCATGACAGTTAGAGGCTGGGAAACCATGGGTGTCCAGTTCCCACTGCCTGACCCTGCCCATGGGATGCATTAAGCACAATGTCTTTCCTGCAGCCAAAGAAAATGCTGTCTCCTTCCCGGTGGAAGGGCCCAGGAGGTGGCAAGGATCTTAGCCCTGTGTGGGTGCCTGAGATCTAAGCTAGGCCCTGCACACCACTGGCAGGCTACTTGCTAAAGGTCCTGCAGGGGCTGGGATGCATCACATTTACTTAGTGCTTCTTCTACAGACTTTCTGAAAGCTGTAAACTTCCGGGAAATCGGCCTCATACACAGATGTACTTAGTAAAAGTTTGCCCAGAAGTCCAAACTGAGCACTTAAAAAGAAGATGTGTGGTGCATCATGGGTGTGGGAAGCCAGGCTACAGGTGCAGAGGTGAACACAGCGGTGTCCTGACCCAGCAGTGGCTGTGCTTTCCTGGGGTCTGACCTATGTGGAACCCCCTCCCTTCTGTCACCAAGGCCATGGGAGAGGTCCTGTAAGTGATGAGGCTGAACTCCTGGGGCTCTGCCTCTGATGGTGAGGCAGATACCAAGGTAAGCAGCAATCAGAGTAAGATGCCCCTGGGAATTACTTGGGATGGGAGTACAGGGATTAATTTCCTTTCCTACAAACAGGATTGGTAAGTGGCAGGCATTTTGTTTTTCTAGATTCTATGGGTAGCCTCTGGAGTTTGTTTCTGCTGGAGGCAGCCATGCCTCATTGCATAGCCGAAGGTCGGCCTGCATTTCTAGATATATAACGCCTGCACAATTAACCAATCGTGTTATGTAATGTGTTCTTTAATGCTCCATTTATCTCGTAATTGAACATTTGTGCTTTCTGTTGGTCTGCATTGATTTTCACTTTTAAAAAATTCTGTTTGAAAGTGCAAGCAACATTTTAGATTTCAAGTGGGGTACAGAGGGGCAGAAGGGAGTTCCAGGAGGGTCTGCCGCTCCAGGGCTCTCTTGGCTGCTACTCTCCTCCCGCTGCCTGGCTTGAATTCCTCACTTCATTCTCATGCAACCCCACTCTCACCCTGGTTTGGAGATGAGGGAAGAGGCTCAGGGAGGGCAGGCAGCCTGAGGAAGGACACACAACTGACAGGAATGGGAAAGAAGATGGGGATTGAGGCCAGTCAGCAGGAGGCTGGAGATAACTCGTGGCCACTACAGGATGCTGCTTCTGAAGTCTCCATGCACGGCAAGAGCCTGACATGGGCACTGGGTTGTAGTTCACTTCCAGAGGCAGCTTCTACCTGACTGTGCTCTGTGCCTTGCCCCTTCGCTCCGGCAGAGCAGGATTCTGGCTGGTAGGAGGTCTGCTCCTCCTACGGAGCCCTTGTCTTGCACAACCTCTGCTTTCTGCAAACTGTAGGCTCCAGGCTTCCTGCGTGCAGGACCACCTACAGACTACACTGGTGCACTCTCTGATGAGCCCATCGTAATGCAGAGTGAAAGGCAAAAATCAATAGTGAACTTGGGCTCCCTGTGCCCACAAGGCCCAGAAGCTGCCTCCTCAGCTGACTGTCTTCCAGGCAGAGCCACCTGTGGGGAGAGGTGAAAGATACATGAACTAATGAAACCTCCCACAGTTTCAACCTGCCTGTGTGTGCGTCTGTGTGTGTGAGAGAGCATGGGTACATCCTCTCTGGAGTGTTTGTGCATGTTAGCTTCTGCCTTGTGCCTGTGACTCTGTGCAAGTAGACACATGTTTTTGTGTTACTGTGCATATGCACATATACCATGGGAGTGGGTTGTGCAAATACATCTGTAGATCTAAGTATGTGCGTGTTGTGTGAGTGTAGAGAAGTGTAGTTATGTGGTGTGTGTTTATGAGGTTTTGTGTGACTGGGGCTTACAGTAATGTGTGTGCTCATCTGTGTGTTGTGAGCGTAGGACCCTTGTACATGAGTGTGCATATGTAGATGTGTGACACGCATATTTCTTTGCACATGATTGTGCATGTATACAAGTCTCCACTGGCTCACAGAAATGTAACAGGCTTCTTATATGAGCAGCAGGATCAGGTGTGGGCTCCTGTTAATTTCACATCTGCACTAGCTACGTATTTATGGGCTGTGGGCAGTGCTGCCTAGCTGTATGCCCTTCTAGAACAGACCCTATTATCAGCCCTTGCTCCTCTAATCAGCCATGACAGCACCATGGGACCCTGTCACACTTCCCTAGTTGATTGGCTCAGGATAAACACTTCACCCAAGGATCTCCGGTTTGCAGGCTGATTAGTGACACCCCTCCTCAAAGTGATGAACTAAGTCACAGAAATTGTTCTCTTCAAAATTACAATGTGGATTTTCTCCCTGTAAATAGTGTTTTCTGTACTATAGTCAGCAGTATCTTCTATTAATGTCTGGAAGTCATGTCAGTGGTTGTGTTCATTGGCCTTTCAAAAGTGACAAAATACCCCACAGAAACAACTTCTGGGAGGAGAGATTTATTTTGGCTCATGGTTTCAGAGGTTTCAGTCCATGGTTAACTGGCTTCATTGCTTTAGGCCTGTGGTGAGGCAGAACACCACAGTGGAAAGACATGGTAGGGAAAGCTGCTCATCTCATGGCAACCAGAAACAGAGAAGAAAAAAGTCAAAGACAAGATGCACACTTTCAAGTTGTACCCCAGTGTCCTACTTCCTTTAACTTTCTCCTACCTATGAACAGCCCACTCAGATCTGATCTTATCCACAGGTTAATCTATTGATATAGTTAACACCCTTGTAATCCAATCAACATTCAAAAGCCACATCTCTGAATTCAGGAGCCTGTTGGAGGAAACTTTTTATTGCAAACCATAACAGGGATGGAGACTGAAAAGAGAAACCATTACCTGCTGTGGAATCTATAGAGTTGCTAGAAAACCAGATTTCTTAGTGGGACTTAGCCCCTGGAAACCTTTTGCCTGTTTTTGGATTTCATGGGACACCTTATTTCTTTTTCAGCATACCCACTGTGTCTGAGCTTGCTTAAGTGGGCTCAATTTTTCTCTTACTGCCAAAACTCTTGGGCTTGTCAAAGTGCTTCCTCCCTGGTCACCCTTGCCAGGAGGACGGGAGAAACTCTGGCAGTAGATAGCCATGTTTACCTTCTTGCCATTCTGGCTTCCTTCTAGTTCAGAGCATATTTTAGGCTTCTAGAAATATCTATTAAGAACATCATGGTGAGTGGGGTTGGGGTGGAAGAACCATATGGCTACACATGGACTCCCCAAACATAGAGCTCAGGATTGTGTCCAGGGCTGGTCGAACAATAAAATTTACTTTTAATCTCTCTTGTTCAGTATTTTTTTTCATACTGTTTTTCAAGAAATACAGCATAGTACATGGCCTCCCCCAAATACCTAAGAAGGTGAACATTCACAGAATATATGCAATACCCTTACTCAGACTGACAGCTGATAAAATCATTATCTCAGGAGAAATTCCTTTACTTGTAAGCATTGCAGGTGGACTGAGAAAAGCAATAGGTGGTCCTCCTATACTTGGCCACTTTTCAACTGGAGCAAGACTGCTTTCTAAATGGGATACAGAAAGGCATTGTGCACCTCCCTTGCCATGTGCTGCAATTCAGACAACAAAGGAAACTGTGCTTCTTCTGTGTAAATGCTAACCTAGTATTTATTTGAATACTTTCCTGACCCTATCTTCCTAAATCTAAAATTAGTCCATGGGCTACATTAGTTTCCTAAAGTTGCTGCAACAAAGGACCGCCAACGGAATCATCTTAACAACAGAATTTATTTTGCCACAGTTCTGGAGTCTAGGAGTCTGAAAACAGAGCATTAGTGGACCACACTCCCTCTGAAGACTCTGGAGGAGGAGCTCTCAGCTTCCAGTGGTTGCCAGTAGTTACTGGCTTTTCCTTGATATGGACATGCATAGTTCCAACCTGTTTCCATCTTCACATGTCATTGTTCCTGTATGAATCTCTGTGTCCAGATCTCCTCTCTATAAAGATGCCAGTCATACTGTGTCACACCTGTACAAACAACTCTATTTCAAATAAGGTTCCAGGTCCCACCCAGGAAGATGTACTTGGTAAGGAACTATTCAATCTGGTACAAGGGCAAAAAAATAAAGTTTTAAATATTAGGTTCTATGGCAATAGTAAATTGTTCGAAGGCAGGGCAAGATTCTAT